CTATTGGAAAATGAACCTGATTGAATGCCAAGCTTGCAGTACTCTTTCCCCTAGAGTTGCAGTCTGATTCAGCTGACTGCCTGAATGAACATATTCCCTCTGAGCAAGTGACCTGTATCTAATAGCAATGTTATTAACCACAGGGGCTACTTGTAAAGAGTGTTATGTGTTCTACTTTTCCAGTCTGAATCTTTGTCTTTTTTTCTCCTCTGCAGTACTCCCTTGGTCAAGCAGAACAAGTCTAGAGCAGTATGATATTTAGTGACTTTTTTCACATGCTTGAAACTGGGAAAGGGAACATCTTTCAGTCTGTCATACAGCAAAAATACCCCCAAATCAAAATAGTTTATCCTACTTGGAGAGCATGGCAAAAATATCTGAGGTTATAACATTCTGAGGTTATAACATTCTGAGGTTACACAAGAATGTGGTCAGCAGAAATATCTCTATAACTCACAATTTGAGAAGTAAGCACTGTAGGTACTTTTATGTAAAGGCCATTTTGAAACAGCTGGTTTCTGACACTTCAGCATTCTAATGGTGATTTTTAAATGTCCTTTATTCTAGAGTGATATTTCTGTGATTTGATGCACTGACACACATTTTAATGTGAGTTGTCCTCTAGAGAACTTCCTAAGCTATGCATAGCAAATGGGCCACTTTCGGGTCATCATACTACTATATAATACTACTGTATTATCAAAAATTTGATAAGCAATGTAAGATACCTAAGCCACTTCTTCTGCTGCTAAGTGTGTTGCTGTTCCTATTCTTTTTACACTGTAACTATTTTTCTGAACAGACTGAAAGGGCTTACACAAACTTTTCCTGATGTTCCTAAACTTGTAAATTTCTTTGGTTTTGTTCAATACATTATTGAGTGTTCTAAACAAGAAATGAAAATTGCAATTTCATTCTATTACAAAGTAATTAGCAACCAATAATATATTTCAACAAAAACACAAATAGGTTTTTACTATTTATTTTTGATAAATATTTAGCATTGTAATACAAACTGTGAATGAAACAAGTCACAGAGACATTTTTTCTCATGGGAAATCAGAATATAAAATAATTATCCAGACCAAAAACAACCTTCAATTTTTTGAGCCTGAGTGTTGTTCAGTATTTCATGAAAATTGGGCCTACCTTCATGTCTGTTGACATATAATTTGTATAAACAGGCTTCCCCTTATGTCGTTTGTATGGATAATTATCCAAATGTCATACACAATCACAGTACATGCAAAAATAAAACAGAAATGTTTTTTCATATTCGGTTGTATATTAAAAGCTTTTCAATAACATAATTTCTATTATTTAAAATAAATACTTGTGTTTGAACTTACATTAATAGACCATGAGGAAGGGCTGATGTATTCACTGATTTTAATGTACTGCAGTTTTCACAATGAAATGGCATCAAACTAGGAATCCAGGTTAGTTTTGTTGTTAAACTCATTTTCAGACAGACAGGGCAAAAACTGTGCGTGTACTTGATCAAATAATAGATATTTAAATATCTTCTCTGGCAATTTTTGAAGTGAATTATTATTGAGATAATTACTCTCTCTTCTCAAAGAAAAACACAATTAAGTTCTAAAGTAGTGAAATGTTTTGTTTCATCAAACTAATATTTCAGGCAACTAAAGAAGAATCTGTCAGGCAACTTCAAGAGTTAAGCTGGAACTTGGAAATTCTCTCAATCTTATAAATGAACTTCATTTCTGTTATTTACAAAGCATCAGATGTATTTTTCTCTCATCCATGCACAAACCAGATATGCCAGCAAAGTAATATGTTTTTTTGAGCTTAAAAGAGAGAAATCCTACCATACAAAATATAAACATAGAGACAGAAAATTCTGGTGAAGGAAACGTTTGCATTGCTTAGGAGTGCTTCTGGACTCAACCTCAGGTTGCTATTCTGGTGAAAGTATCTGTAAGAACTTGAATGACCTTGCAAAAGTCATAATATCTGGTTCAAATAAGATCAACCCATAGGAAAATAGTTATGATGTATAAAGTATATTAAAGCTATAAACAAATAACTTCCTTTAAATAACAAGATCTAAAGATAGTCTTAATGTGATTCAGTTACAAATGCCAATAAAATAAAATACCTCTCGAAGAAGATGTGCTTCAAGGTCTTTTCACCCTTAATGTATCCAGGGGATTTTGAACCCAACATTATCATGATCTATATGAGTACTGGAATTTTATGAAATGCTGTTATTTAACAATATATCTTGGCAGATATTATTATGTCTATATATTTTTATTCCAATTCACAAATCTCTGTTTTCTGTGTAATTTACCTTCACAGTTTGAATGTCTTATCAGATCTTACAAATTCATCCTTGCTATTTTTTTGTTCCCATCCTCTTTAATCCCTACAAATATATTTTTTTTAAAAAAGCAGTAAATAATATCTAAATATTTAAATTTTAAACATAATTTCAATGTGTTCTTTATATGTTTTTAGGGGCATGATATTTTATATTTATTGTTGTCTGAGAATTTTGTCAAGATCACATTTATAAGAAACACAGTAGTCATTATTCTAGATCTATTCAGTTGCAGAAATGAATCTATTTGAGTGTTTGCATGTCACTGCTGTCACCTTGCAGTTGTCTGAATCATTGATGCAGGCCTTTAAACTGACAAATTATAAAAATGAGGTAGAAAATGCATATCAAATTTAGAACAGCCATAAAACGCATGTAGAAATGTTTCTCTTTCAAACTTTTCTAGAATCAAAGGATTTTACATTCATGAAATTTGTATCAGGCAAGTTTTACAAACAACTGATCTCCTTCAGCATCCACAAAATTCTTTGGAATCAGAATCCAAAACACAGTCTGTAAGATACTAAAAACAGAAAAGGCTTTGAAGAGTTTTGAGTTTAGAAATTTTTCCCCTGTAAAGAGGCTCAGTCAGTTTCTAGGCAACGTAGCTTTTCTAAATCCCTTTCATGCTCTTTACAGGATCCCATCAAGTGACCCTGCTAGAAGAGTCTGGTTAGAGCAGCCACAGGTACCATAATGATTTCTGCCTGCCAGGCTTCTTTATTATTCAAGGTTCTTGCAGGATGTCTGCTGTATAACCTAACAAGCCCCCACAGGAGACAATATCTTAGTTGATTCCCCTGGCAGCCAATGTCTTTGCTAGGACTGAAGAAAGTGACTTACTGGCAACTTGTTTGCCTCTCTTCCTCTTTCACATCACTGCTTGCATTTGCGTGAACACACACAAACCCTGACAGAGACCAGACACCCTGATCTTCTCTTTGAACCTCTTCCTTCAGTGCCTAATGCTGGTTTACTGTCATTACTAGGGGATTCAGCTGATAGCACTGTCTGGCTATAGCTGTAGATAGGATACCTAATCTACAAAGACAAAGAAAGAAACTGTACTTTAATTAATTTCTTATTACAATTCACCAGTGAAATTGCTTTGGTCACTGTAATGACTCCTCAGAAATGGTATTACTTTATAAACACAATCTGTTGCAGAACTGAAAACTTGATTTATGGCATCCATCAGTCCTACCTAATGGCCTTACATAGTATATTGTACATCCTTGACAAGCAATTAGATGTTTATGAAGACACTTGTTGCTTATAATTATAATCCTGCTAATTTCCTCATTCCCAAAAGCAACATTAGTGTTTGCTAATGAACTGCAGATTAATTTGCTCTGAATTAATTTCTACCCCCACTCTGCCCCCCCTCCCCATGCATACAGATTGCACTAATTTTGCTTTGGGGACGTTAAAAGGATTTTTGTTTGACAATAGATTCTAATGGCCTGTGTTATTATTTAAGAATTTGGTTTACCTTAATTTGAATTTAATTATTCATCAATGTTCTGAATTAGAGCTGAGAGATAATGTGTTAAAAAAAATATAGATAAATTTCACAGATCAATAAAATAAATTGAACAGATAATACAGTAAAAGTTGCTCAAAGTGTTTCCATTTTCTCGGGGGCATCTAATGACATGAATCTGGTAAACTGAAACAAGCTTGAGGGTCTGAGTTCAGTCCATAATGGTTTAATGGCCATAGTGTTTAAGTATCAAACGCAATAATAACACATTTTCTCTCAGAAGACTAATTTTATACCTGCTGATTCCATTGACCTCTGCAATGTCTTCTTAAAAACCAAATTATCTTAACAGTGACCCTCCTTTTGCTTTGCACTTGGAACACCTGCTTTTCTTTTTCTTTTTCATCTAAATCTATGCAATATCTGACTTAACTACAAGTAACTAGAATTCACTACCTAGGTTATACAAACAAGTTTGAAAATTCAGGGTTTAAAATAACAGATTCTTGCTTCTAAACTTTGTATCAGCTGCCAACCTCACACAGTAATCCTTGATTCATGCTGCATGAAACCTTTCATTCTCTGCCAGCAGCTGCTTGCTAAGCTATTCCTGCTCTCCCCTTGTTTCCTTGGCAGATCATGTGTTAAAGGAAGTACTAACTGGAATATGTGCTACCTGCAGGTGTTCCAAGTAGGGCAAGCAGACACTCAGCGGACTGAGATAGGATGAACTTCTTCTTCTTCTGTGTTACTTGTAAATAACATAATGAAGGCAATGTATGTACTGCTTCGATAAAAGCATTAGGTATGCTGACACCCTCTGCTCCTGTTTGGTACTGGTTGTTTTTAAAACCAAATGTGGTTTTTGCTGTTTAGTTACATTAAGTAAGGAAAGGTGGATTCAATGTGTTTTTAAAAAACCCAAGTACATAAACTGTGAACCTATTGTACTGGCCAGTCTTCGCGAACGAAGAACCAGGGAAGGTCTTTACACCTTCCAGCCTGCGCATTGGATTTTTTAGGTGAGACACAGTGTGCGCGGAACTGAGCCCACCCTTTAATCCTGAGGTTCATCTGCCGGGGCCAAGCACGCTTGGACGGTGGAAGTGAGGTCCTCAGGACATAGATGGATTGCCTTACGGGCTAACGAGCTGCATCTGCCCAGGGAGGGGCCCTGACCGGGAATCGAACCCGGGTCTCTGCAGTGATAGTGCAGTGCCTTTCCTCTAGACCACCAGGGGCTCCCTTTGAACCTATTGTAATCCTGAGGGAATTCACATCCTGTCTACTAATTTAATATAATTAAACAAAAACATTTGTCTTAGTGATTCCTAATTCTGATTCTCCTGTGGTAAATTCAAGAATTTGGGCCATAAGGGTCAGATTTTGAAAACAATTCAGTTTTCACTTATGAGCTAAATTAAGAGGCCAGATTTGCAAGTGCTCACTGTGCAGCGGAATGATCTGTACTGAATTCTACTGAAAATGAAGCTCCCATACAGATACTCCAAAAAGTGTACTGAGAATAAAGAGGTCAGAAGATGGTTTGTTAGTGTCTTTGTCTTAAATAAGGCCTCAGCTGTTACTTTGGATGGTTTAGTTATTTGTGCATCATGAAATGGAATAATTTGATGATAGCCAAGAGGGAAAAAAAATATATCTGAAGTTAAAGTTCCTATTATTCATATATTTTAAAGGTGGAACACATGATATCCATAACCTTTCATTTGGATTGTTTTTAACCTTGAATTAATCAAATCTTTGGATTTGAAGTTGGCTTGGAGTATCGTAAGATTTAATTAATTGTTGTCTGAAATAATTTAATTGCATTTTTATGCTCTGCCTCTGAAATGATCCAGACAATACTTGTTTGTCTTTTTTAATATGTAAAATAAAATAATTTATTATATGCTGGTCTGAAATTGCATCCATCCTGAAATATTTAGATTTCTTGGTCCTAAGCTTTGTATCCGAAATTACTTCTTTCATAGAAATAAAAGATTATCACAGTCACAAGGAGTACTGACACATATTTAGGTTTAAACAAAAAGAGCTATACAATACTACTCATTGACAATGACATATTTTGTGAAGAAAAATCTATAAACCTCATTAAATATTCAAAACACTCTGGGCAGTTATTCTTGCAAACTTTTTAGACTTTTTGGAATTTACATGAACTATTAAAATTTAATTTTAGTCAATTAAATTGAGTCTTAAGTAAGTGAAGATCCAGTTGAATGGAAAACATATTGTAACCTACAGGCAAAGTCAGAAGAAAAATCTGAATTTAACATTTTTATCTGCATAGGAGACATACCAAAACATACAAATAGATCTCTTCAGTATCGGCACAGTCCCATAACTGAATATGCAAGGGGTGAGATGTATGTTTTTTACTTTCTAAAAACATATAACAAAAAAAATAATTTTCAAAGTTTTCCATTATGATGTGTACAATATAAGTGATGGAAAAATGGGTCCTAAACTAATCACACATTCATATAAACATCTGGAATATATAGTCACTGTGATAGTGGCTGGTTTTGATTTGGGTTTTTTGTTTTGTTTGGTTTGGATTTTTTTTTAATGAAAGCATGGGGAAAAAATAAAATAAATAAACAAAAGTTTAGATCTTTGTAGGAGACTTACCTTTCTCTGTAACAACTGATAGAAATGCTACAGACGTCACGGAATAATGTGTGAGGCATCTTGTATGTAAGCTGAGCTATCTTTGCATCATATGCTTCTGATGGGGTTGTTTTATCCTCAGTGATTTTTTTTTAATTAGTTTTGCCTGCAGGGAGCATAGCCACCCTCACTGTGCAGGAGGTGAACATTTTACTATGTGCCTGAAATTTGAAAGTGGTGAGTCACCACCCTTCACAAGTTTTTATAACATAATTTCTCAGTGGCAAGTGTATGGAAAAAGTTCAAAGAGGGGTGTTGAAGTATTACAGATTCTCTGAATTAGCACACAAGAAAACAAAGAAAAAAAATTCAAGTTACTTATTTTAAGGGAAAGTTCAGAATGAACTCTTATAAATAAGTTAGTTAATTCATAGAATTTTCAGTCCCTAGAGGAAGATGCTGTAATCTTGATTATGCAAAATTATTCTGAAATTTTGTTAAAAATGTTTTTCTTTCCTGAGATTCATGGTGTTAGACTATGAAGTAGATTTCATACCCATAGTTGTTTTCAGGTCACTGAATAACATTAAGTTTCTAACCGGTAGTTACATGGATATCAATTTACACTGGAAAGATAACTATTAATTCAACTTTCCCTTTCCCCAATGTGACAAGAGACTGCTCTTATCTATAGGTAAATATTCATAAGTTTTCCTATTTTACCCAGTTTTGACTGAGAATTGCTGTATTTACCTGGAGAGAAAAAGTATGTTTTGGATTCACAAGGAACAAATTCTACTGATTTGGTGTATTGATTGTTATCAATTTTGTTGTTATTCCATAGTTTATAGTTTATGGGTATTTTTGTTCCAAATGTCCTCTTTGGAAATGTCCTTAAATATATTGTGTTTAAAGGAAACAAGAAGAAAATGAGCAAAGGATTCAGTGAACATTTTTGCATCTACTCTGTATCTCACTTTTCAAATAGTCAAATAAAAAAAAAAAATCCACCAATAAACAAAAGACAGCAACACCTTAATTAGTAGGTTCTTCAAATTCAATGTAGCTTTACCAAACAGGGCTTACAAACAGTATAGTGCAATTATAGTGAGTGGCATAATCTTGCTCAAAAAAGGCAGAGATTCTTTTATTTTGTTTAGGGAAGGCACGATGAACTTATAACCACAATACACCATCATAAGCATCTTTAAAAGGGCATTTGAGTGTTTCTGGCTACAGATTTCTCCTGGGAAGAACCAAGTTGGGTGTCTTTACCACAACAATTAGACATGATGAAATGCAGTAATGACAAACTATATTTCAAATTTATGGGTTATAATTAATCAGTTGTGACTCATAAGATTAAAGTGTAGCTACAAAATACAGGTGACTCAGTCGTTTTAGATGTTTTAACACTTAGTAATATCTGCAGTCCTGAAGGAGATTTTCAGGTTTCTACATAGAAGATTTACAGAAGCCAGCAATTTGAATACAGAATTACCTGTCTTCAAGGACTGAGACTTTAGTCTGCTTAGAAGCTCAGAGGACTCAGCCTGGCCTCACTTCTTATCCATGAAGAAGGTCCTTAAGCATGGTCATCTATTTAGCACATAACAACAAAACACAACTTCCTAGTACTGTATTTTACCCACTATCCTGTGCTTAGGATGACGACTTGAAAGGTGAGGCAGATCATTTTAAAGTCCCTCATCTATTTCCTGTTTGGAGGAGAGATTCTAACACAGGACTTCTACTCACTAAAGAAAAATGCTGTAAACACTAAAACTTCATTTAATTTCACCTTTGAGTTTGTGAGCATTTCATACTATGTTGAGCATTTTTAAACAGAGGCAGCTGAGATTTTTTTTCCTGCAGAATTCAACATTATGCAAAGGAAGCAAATTTCCAGTAGAAGACAGGCAAGACAAATTCCTTCTTCAGATCATAGCAATAAGGGATGCAATGAATTTCCTCAAGGAAATTTCCAACGTTAAATTAATGATTACAAAGGCACTCTTCGTATTAACTTTTTGCACTCTGGGAGGCAGAACAATACCTCAAAGTGCAAGGAACATATACAATCAAAATATTTGCTTGACATCCAAAGAAGCTTCTTAGAACTAGAAAGGGAATACAGACTGTGAGAAGCATTTAATCATGATACTTGGAGAAGTATAACAGCAAGAAATGCATGCATTGCTAGGATTAGGCTCCAGGTGACAGAGGTGAGTCTCTATTGACTTCACAGTGTCAAAGTAAGAAATCAAACTAGGAGAAAAAAATTAAACCTGCAAGTCCTCCTCAGCCTCAGATAATTTAACAGAATTTAACGCTTCCATTTTACACATAAAAATTTATTAAACTATGCAGTCATCTTACCACTTCAAAAAAGTCATTAGGTATTTTCAGGGAGATAAGAGAAAATAAGAAAGGAAATACAACCCTCTTTGTTTCTATTCTTTTCAATGTTCTTATTTCTAATCTAACCAAAGTATGATCTCCGCTTTTTAAAGTGTCAGTGAGAAAGTATTTGTGTTATCTCTCTCTGAAAGATCCATGGTTGCTTTTTCATGGATTTTGAGCAGATAAAATAACTGATTTTTTTTTATTACACATCCACAAATAAACTATCAAATTTGGAAAGACTATATAATTTTTGTCTCCTGTCGTTGGTTTCTAGAGCTGATTGAAGACTAACTTAATAAAAGATCCATCAGTAAATAGAGCATAGCCTCTTTCATTTTCTGGTAACTCTTTATATGGTGGTACTTGGACACAAGTCTCCTTCTCATGCAATGCTCCAAAATCTCTGCCCTCTGGTCAGTCCATAATCTCTTCCAGGATTCCTGGGATATTGGGTTTTCCCATTTGGGCTCACTGTGTGATCAAAGCTAGCCACTTACTCCATGTAGCACTGGTTGTGTAATGGGTTGAGGGGATGTTCCCTCTGAACATCCAGTGCAGCACAGGCACTGTGGTGCCAAGAGGAGACATGTTTCTGTCCCAAAGACTTCTGAGGTGGCTCAGACCCCCTCATAGGCTGCTAATATATCTTTTTCAGTAGTGGGCTTCTGGTCATCAGTAACTGTTGGAGGTTCCCCAGAAGACTCCTACGAGTAATGGAAGGGAATTACTGAAGAAAGAGTCAAGGCAGAAGAAGGCAGTAGCTCAGAATGTATTTATGCTGTCATGCAGAGAAAAAAACCATCATTGTTATGAGAGTGTTGATTCCTCATGTTCTACATAGTTATATGATTGTTCTCTTGATGGCATAATATATTTTGTTGTATTACTATATATTTCTCTTGTTTAAACCCCTGTTATCTTTCCTCTTATTGGTCAATTGTATCCCTTATTCTTACTTGTCAGCCCTTGCTGCATTGCAGTAGTTTCCATATAGAGTAATTCCCTTATCCGTATATGGTGGAGTTCCTCTCTACGAGTCCTATTTTAGTTGTCCCTTTGCATACTCCTCCCAGTGTTCACCCCTTGTTCTAGTAAGTTCCCATCTCTCTTTATAAGCCAGTGCCCCTGTTTAATAAATGGAGATTTTGTGTCATACTCTGACAATCTTGTAGAGTGGTCCTTTCTGGGTCTTGCTTAAAGGGGG